GAAGCCGTACGGCTTCAATAAGTTTTTATTGTGTAAATATAAAACGTTGTTTTTAATTAATTATTTATTATAACTAGCAAAAAATTTTAAACACAAGTGTTGGTAGTGGATATCTATACTTGATGTTTAAAACGACAAGAAATTTCTTACTTGGGTAACATCAGCTTGAGAACAGTTAAATTTACAATATAAATTTAAGGGGGGGTCAGTTGAAGAAAGAGTCATTCTGAACACTACTAGAAAGGTGTCCCATTTCTGTATATTTAGCTTGGAAATCTGGATGTTTATAGAACTTGGAATCAGTAAGCTTAATCAAAAATTATTGTAATGATAATTAAAATGAGAGTTACTACATTAATCCATTTTGAATATATGATTGTTGTTCCACTCCAAAATTCTTAGAGGGTTAACAATTGTGTCTAAAGTTTTTGTTAAGTAGTAGCACTTTCCATTTTGTAAAAAATGTCACAATCATCATTCAGCACCCAAGTGTGCCAACCCCACATTATGTAACAGATTGCAATATCTCCACACTCACACTGTACAGTGACTCAGTTCAGCTTAACGGTTGTCAGTCAAGTGATAGAGATATCCTGAACCTGCTGTTTTGGCTGGATTGATGATTTAATAGGGGGAGACATTGATCAACAGAGACTATGTATGGTTATGCTACTTCTTGGATCAGAATACTGAATGGGAAGAATAAACATCACCCATCATCATATTAGGTATTGGAAATGTATCCTATAAAACAACTGCTACACAAGTTTCCATTGATCACTAGAAATATGGCCATTGCTGAGATAAATTGTTGCTGAAGGATTGAATGATTCAAACTTGAGTGTGTGCCTGGTCATTTATAGTAGTAAAAAATAATTGAAAAGCCATACTGAGGTTTTGTGATTTAGTCTTGTGAACATGGTAGCATGCACAGATAAATGTGTAGATGCATTAGAAGGATCCTCCTGGTTTAATTAACTAGATTTTGCTTCCAGCTATTACTGGCCTGTCAAGAGAGAGAGGATGAAAACAGAGTCAAAACTGCATTTCAGCCCTCAAGAGAACTTGTGCTAGTTTTGCTTCATGTTTGATATACATAATGATATTTTTAAGTGGCTGAAGGAACTGTAATATGTGGTGTGCAATAAGATTGGTGTCTGACATATATTGGCTATATTTTAGTGTTAGGCTGCAGTTGCAAGTAGCACAGTTCAATGTTTTTAACAAGCAAGTCTGAAACTAAAGCACAGAAATATTTTCTTTAGTGAATGCATGCAGTTTCTCAGACTTTTGTAATGATTATGGATTATGTAGCTACTGATCCTGCTAAAATAAAAGTTGTATAGTGGCCAAAACCTATGAACAAAAAGGAAGTTTGAACTTTTCCTCAAAATGCTTTGTAGCTAAAATTTTTGTTGTCAACAACAAAAAAAAAAAAACATTTTAAATTGATTGAAACCATAAATTCATTCAATTCACTAAATGTTTGCCTTTGTTGGTGTACTAGATTGGTTTATCTGAGATGTTCCTTCATATTGGATATGAATTCTAGTAACTTAAACTGAACCATTATGGTATTTTTGTCTTCCATAATTGTATTATAATAATTGTGATTGTTGTTAGAATGAAATAGAGAAGCAGCAAAGTCTGGCAATGAAAATATACTTCACTGACTTCCGCTATGCTTAAATCTCCTACTGACCAAAATATATATATATGTATGTTGGGTGCATATACATATTTGCATAACTGTGTGTTGTGAACCTTTATAAAATGGCATCTGCCAAAAGTCCTAACTTGATTAAAGTATACGAGTTTGAGAGAATGAATTTAAAGACTTAAATACTATTACTGATCAATAGTAAAGCTTAGTCTCGTAAATGTAGTTTTGGTTATATTATAAACAAGATTACGACACTTATGATATACAACATTGTTTATTGACA